GTGCTCTTCTCCTTTAATTGTAATCTTTAGTTCCTTCTAGTTCCCTCTAGTGTCCAACCTTCAAAGTCCCATCCTATCATTAAAAAAAGAAAAAAGAATTCAAAACAAAAACATTTTCCCACATGAAGGATTCTTATAATTAATTCCAAAACTTATTTCAAATCCATCTGGACCCTTAGTCCTTTAGTAACTTTCCAAAATCACTTGCTGTTTATTCCAACTTTCTAATCACTTGCTGTTTATTCCAAAAAAGATTTTTTTTAAGTCCTTAAACTTGTAGTTAAAACTTTCTTTCACTAAGGATTGAAGGAAACTCACCCAGTGATGTAAAACCTGTCAATCCAAAGGTTCCTAATAGCTGAAAAGCAGTTAAAAGCAATTCCAAAAGTGATTGGAAAAGGAAGTATGCGAACCCAGTGTCCTTTGAAAGGCACCAACTGTGGATTGAGCAAGATGACTATTCCCTCATCTCCCAGTGCTCTAAACCCACCAGAGTTTGGAGGTGCAGTCTTCTCACAAAGAGCAACTGTCTGGAGCGATTGTGAGCGATCTCAAGTCATCTCCTTCCCAGAGAGGAATTACAAAGAGCCAGTCTACTCACCAGCTCCTCATTCTGCCACAGTTGTCAGCTCTGCTTTTAGTGAAGCCAAGTTCAGTTTGCCATTTCTTCCCCGGAAGTCACTTGTTTCTACAGTCCTGAAGCAGATGGCCTGTACTTCTGTTTCCTTGACTTTGCCCATTTCTGGGAGATTCAAAATGATGAACACCCTGTTACTTTCCAGGTGCTTCCATAGTGTTCTAGGGAATTCTATCCCTTGTGTTTAAAACAAACAAACAAACCTTCTGTATAGCCTTTACAAGGAGGATCTGGGGTTTCTAATTCTGTGCATGTGAAACAGCCTTCTCTAACTCTTGAAGATGTGGATTGTGCATCCTAGTCTGCATCCTGCATCACATTCCTCTCCCTTCTGTTTACAGAAACCCCCACTATTAAAAAGTGTCCACCTACAAAGTAGATGAAACTGGGGGCAACCCATGCATTTCTTCAGATAGGTGTAGGAATGTCTTCTATACCACAGAGTCACATTTATATATTTTATTTATTTTCAAATTTGTATGCCGCCCATCTCCACATATGGCAATATAACTGGGAAGTGCATATCAGAGGCTGTTGCTGGAATAGGTATCTCTGTCTTAAATTTACATAACAATAACACACATATGCCTATATTTGTGCACAACTCCCCCTCATCCCTTATGAATCCTCCTCCTGGTGGTAGAACAATATATACAAAAGTAGATGCAAGAGGGTAACTCTCCTTGCATGCCATGCTATCCTCTCTCTTGTGGCTCTTTCCTGAGCTGGAAGAAATGTAATTTATGAAGGAGATGATGGCAAAATTTAGCTGGATCAGTGAGGCTTGATGCCCTGATGGGTCAGAGCGAAGACCTCCATGGGCAGCATTGGAGGTCCCCTTTGACTTCTTGATACTAGACTCCAAATCACGTCTTGAATATTTGGAATTGTATAATTTTTTTCACTGTTGACACCTGTTCTCTCAGATCTGACAAAGAGTACCATTGTTCAGTTTACTTGCTCTATTTCCTTTCCAGTCATGGGGTTAACAGAGAGCTGCTTAATCACAGATGTGCTACTAAAGTATTTTCCTTTCATCTCTTTCCACAGCCCCCAGAAATACTTTGGATCTGAGGCATCTGCAGGGAAGTTCAAGTTGCTGCACCCAGAGTTCATGCATTATCTAAAAGAAAGGTGATATTTTTGAGCTTTTGATTGCTACAACAAAACTTGCTATTAAGAGCAGTTGATTATGCACTCAGTGGCCATTTATGTATGAACAGTACCTTTCACGTTCCTAGGGCAGGGGCAAGGCAGAGAAAGGGATTTGAACATTTTGCTGACTGGTGTGAAGAATAGCAAAGAGGGTGTATTATGTACCAGTTTGTCCTTTTGGCCTCCAGTATTTGGGTTTTGTTCAAAACTCTTTTTGATCTGGAAACCCTAATGGTATTTAAAAGATTTTTGAGCATTAATACAAATATGCAAGCAGGAATTTGAAAACACCCCACATCAGATTTTGTCAGTTTGGAAACTAGCATGTCAGGGAGAAATGTAAAACCTTTCTATTTGCCAGATTCTTACATGGAAACCAAGGAAATAAGCTCTATCAGAGTATCCTGATTTTTCCAGTGAAGTTCTCTGCTGTAATCTGCCTCTTCTGTTCCCAGGTTTTTAAAATCAGAAATTATTAACAGTCAGTTTGGTCATCTCTATATGCCCAGCACTGGAGCACTTATGCTTTTAACAGCTCTGCACACTTGTGATCAGGTAATAGTCTTCATAGTATCACCTTTTCCAATTCTTGATAGCTCAACTAACAGACAGTGAAGATGTAAAATTACTTGTGAGGGGGAATTTGTACCGTATGAAAAACAGTGAAAGGAGGGAGGCATCAAATGGCAGACCCGTGTTTTGCTTACAAGGTGCACAAATTCCACAGGTGTGCTTTGGAGGAAATGGGTAAGTTGTTTTTTTGTATGTTACCCAAAACCACGTGACATTTAGACATCTGCTAGATGCTGGCTGTCATTCCATCTGATGCAGCTGTGTTTCTCCAAGGGAATTCTTGGTCGTCCAAGCAACCCACATGAAAGAATATCTCTTGGTCCATGCTTGTCCCTCATTCATCCTTTCACTTCCTCTCCTCCCTTAGGTCAGTGCTTATGGATTCATCACAGAGAATTACAGGTTGTTTTCAGATCATTACTATGAGCAGGAGAAAAAGCCCTTGGTGTTCTATGCCAATCATGATATGCTGCTAGAAGCTGAGCTATGGAAGAGCTTGCACCGAGTTGGCATCATGAAGCTGTATCAGCGATGAAGGCAGTAATTCTTCATGTGGGAAAGAACAAAAGTGCATCTCTCCTTGAGTCCCTCTGTATGAGAGCTCTCCTGGTCAAGAGGAACCCTTCCTTTGTCTCCAGAAATGAAACTGATCAGCAGCAGGCTCCAAGCACATTTAAGATAGCATTGGAACAGCCAAGTATCCTGTGAAAATCATTCCTGTTACATTTGGTAAAGATAGACCTATCTGCTGTTACTACAGTGTAGTAACTTACTACTGTAAGTTACTGCTGTACAGTGGTATCTCAAATACAGTCTCATTCATGTATGCAAGTATTCTCTTATGCTTGGAGGTAAAATGGTTGATCATCATGGAGCATCGGTCTGATTCAGTGTTGCAGATTTGGGCATCACTCCACTATCCTCCATTTAGGACATGTCCAGCATGATGCTGAGGACCACAGAACTGTGCTTGCAGGTGTCAGTACTATAGATGCAGAAGGCCACAATCATCAGAACAGGGCTCCTATACATGGCACACATCCAGGAAAAATGGCTTTATTGAAGGCGAACAAGTTCTGATAAAGTGAAATAGGACCTAGCAATGGGCACTTTGGATTACTTGTTTCTATCAAGAAAGGGACATCTTCCCCCTTCCAAAAGGCAGTACAGTGGTTTACCCCAGAATTTAAATCTGTCTTAGACTATATAGATCTCTGGAAAACACCCGCTATGCAGCATCCTTATTTCATCCACCCACACTCCATAAGCTTGAACTCAGGGATCCTTTTAGGTGTACAAATATTGGCCCACTTCTGTTTTCACAATCAGCTACCAACGGTACTGAGTAACCCCTCCACGGTGGGAGAGATCAGCCTTCTGGTTGTTGCAGGGCCATTGGATACTAGATCATTCAAAATAAATCTGCGCTAAGAAAGTTGTGGGCAATATCTCTGCGAATGTTTCTGTAGTCTGAATTTCTCTGAAGGCGAACCATGGCTCGGGACAAAGGTAGTTCCAGATGCAGTGGTTTGTGCAGAATACCTAACAAATCCAGGTGTTCTTATTAAATGTATGTATGTATAAAGTAGCAATAAATGTGAGTGCGTTACTGCTACTCCAATGGTTCAGATTTCCTTAAGGGGTGGAGAACATGTTTTGACACCTATGGAATATCACAAAGCCAAATAGCCCTCTCCAGTGAATAAACAAAATAGGGATGAATCGAGAGGCCAAAGGATCAGGAGGCAGAGTGCTAAGGCAAAGCATGTGGGACTGTGGCATATGGTTGTTCACACAATATAGTCAACCCACTTATCCCTTGTTCCAGACAATCTACTCCCCTTTGTGTGCTGGCAGCACAAGAGTATAGCCACCCGAGTCAATCTGTCAGCTAGATAACTAGCCCTCCCAGATTCTGTAAAGTAGGTTGGAAGTCTCTCTCCTTCTCTGATCTTTTTCCCCCTTTGGAGATTGAGTATCTGTCAGCCTTTCAAGGTAGACTGGACTAGGATGCCAGTTATGAATGCTAATACTACTTTTCTTATAAGGTTCCATAACAGAATCTTGCAAGTCTGAATGCGCCTCCCCCTCCCTCCCTCCCTCCCTGTAGTCTGTAGAACTGGCTGGAAATTCTGAATTCCAAACTTTTAAACTCATAGAGAGGACAGTAGGGAAAGAGACTCTAGAGGAATCCACGGTCTAATGTTAGGGTTTATGTGTTGTTACATTTTTAACAAGAGGCTACTAAGAGCATTTATACTCCAACAAAAGCTGGCAATAGTGGGAACTCCAGTCTTTATGGTATTTCCCTTTACTGCTTTCCCATAGCCTTTCTCTCCCCTCCCCCCCACCCCCATGGTATTTTAAATATCTCTAGAAAATTGGAATGACTCTTATTACAACATGCTGTCATAATATCAAGTTTGAACCTAAGTTGAATTGATTTCATAATGAACTATGTCTTCAGTTATTCAGCCCACTTATTGGTTTAATCAAAGCTCTAAAGAAGTCATTTTTTATATGCACGTATGGTTGTGTCTGTCTAAAATGGCTGGCATAGGGTCAAAGCCAGCAGTACTTTTACATCAGGAAGGTACAACTTTTTTCTAGGATGAAGACTGCAGCTAGCCTTTGAATAACAAGCTGGAGCTGAACTCACCCAAACATAAGTGAAACTGGAATCCCCCAAAATGGGCAGAGCAAGACAATTTAAAATAAATTTATTAAATTATTATTAAACAATTATTTAAGATTGCCTTAAATCTTACAACTTCCTATATTTAATCATTCACCTGCTGTCATGTTAAAAATTAAAATTCAGTTGCTACTTTTGAAAAGCTTTAGGAGGTCTCCGCCCACAGTTGCTGAAAAGCAGTGATGCAATAGCAGAGTTTGCGGTAAGAAATAGTCCCAAAATAGAGTTTATTTTAAAAATTCCCAGCAAAAATAGAAAAGGGGAAAAAAATCTAGTGCTGTCCAGGTACATGATGTAATCCCAGCTTGTTCCCTTGCCATTCCAAAGGGTGCAAGTTTTGTTTCATAAGGTGCACATCATCTAGAAATGCAGTTGTATTAAATGAGCAAGCCAGCATGTAAAGCACTTAGGGGAAAAAAGGTACCTAACATGGCAGGAGTAACTAATTCTGGTCCAGATGGGCCAAAATGTCCTCTCAAGCTAATAAAGCAACCATTTAGTTCCAAGAAGCAAAGAAAGAGATGTTATTGACACAAGTAACCTTGCAGACACCTCACACTGATATTGGTAAGATAATTAAGTGTAAACAGCAAAGAGATCAGAATGATGTCACCTTTGTTCTGCTGGAAAGTAATGGCTAGTGACAGGGTTGCGGGCACCCAAGGGGAATAGGTAGATGTAATCTGAAACGTTTCCCCACTTTGTATAATTGCATAAATGTTGAATGATCTTTGCCCTTTTGTTTCTTTTCATTGGGTGGAGGGTGGGGAAGAGAGGAGTAGAAAATTCTTTTTCCCTTTGGCTGAATAAGTCAGAAAGAAGTCCAAGCTGAAGGAAAGGGGGAAAAGCAGTAGTAAGAGGAGAAAAACTTGTGCTACCCACCCATTATTGTAAAAGGAATGAGTAGACCCTAGTCAGAAAAGGCATTCAGTCATGCCCATTAGCTGTTTTTTGTGAATCCACTGAGAGAAAAGGAAGCAAGCAATCCAGGTGCATTTTCAAGACAGCAGAGTACCATGGCTGCTGTCTCATTCCCATTATCCCAATTGCACAAGAGCAAGCCTCATGATAAGCTTCGCCTGGAGGCCATCAGGCACCGCTTAGAGACTGAGCTTTCAGTGAGGAAATTCCTGTTCCAATCTTGGCTCATATGGGTGAACTAACCCATTGCTTCCTCCAGTCTGCAATACAAGATACTCAACTTGTGGAATGCTTAGCTAGCATAGCACACACACCCAGGAGCATCCTTTTGTGGAAGGCTGCATTGTAGAATGAGTAGTAGTATCAACATGGCTAATACCCAGGGTGCTCCAGAATTGCATTGCAAAATAGGATCCAGGCTATTTCTGCCTATTGTGTACACATCACATGGATAGCAAACATGGAATAAAATAAAATACAACTCTGGGTTTCATGCAAGTTTGAATGTACATGCCTGAATCAGTAGCATCCAAGGGCTGCTTTTGGTGGGAAGACTGAATACAGATGTAATAACCTTAGCTCCTTTAAAACATCAGGGGCAACAAAAAACTATTTAGGGTATGAAGGGCAAAAAAAAACTATTTAGGTTGCTTTGTGTGTTCTGCTGAAGTAGCACTTGTCACATGAAAGGCAGTAGGTTAATGGATGTGAAACAAAGAGTGCCACGCTTTTTGATCATCAGCCATTTTCCAAGCAAGCATCTAGCATGTTCTCCTAAGATCTCAGATTCTAAAAAAACTTCACGCTTCTGCTTCTGAAACATAGGGAGGGGAATAAACATGGGAATTGTCTTGCCATGTACTACTACAAAAGGACCATGACCGCTCTCCATACAGTGTTTAGAAATTACAATGGTCATTTAAGAATAATGCTCTTCCTTTTCTCAGCCACTTGTTTTCTAATCTAAACAGTTTGAGGAAACATCTGTTGCAGACTCTGTTTTTATCTCCCCAAATGATTTGGAAAGTCCCCTCAATTGTTTTTCACTTGGTTGAGTGTGATGCAGAAAATAGCCCTAAGTCTAAGGAACAGAAAAGCAACCCAGTGGAGTTCAGGTTGTTGTTCTGACAAGTATTACGGACTTACTTCATAATCCTTTCTATAATTCAGCCATAGTAAAAAAAAAAAAAAAAAAAAAAAAGGGAAAGTGGTATGTTATGCTACAAACACAAGCCTGTTGGAAAGGTTTTAACTGGTCCTTCTGCATCGCTCTTAAAATTTTACTAGTATCTTGGCTATGTTTGCTACATGGATTACATTCACTTGGCTGAGGGGTCTGTGTATATCAGGGACATGTATCCAGCTATTTCATTTTGCTCAATGGGGATTTGGCCCTCAATGGAAGTTACGAAGTACATGCCTGCTGCAGATGAAATGGAATTATATAGTTTTTTTTTTCTTCCTTCCCACAATTCCTAGCATTTTTCCCACAGGTGCAGGGTCCACTTTTTTTTTTCCAGATCAACCAATGTTGGTCCATTGATTGCAACAGGAATTGACCGACCGGCTTGTTGCCTGGGCCCAACATCATGGACTGAGAGTGACTGGCCTGTGCCTCAGGCGGTACTAGAACTCAGTCTCCTGGTTTCTAGCCTGATGCCTTAACCACTAAGACCAAACTGGCTCTCACATTAAGTATCAATGTGGTGCTGAGATGGTTGTCTTCTGTAGCCCCTCTTGATTCCCTCACTTCACTAAAATCTCCAGGGAAAACATATGTGGGAACTTCTTGCATGGGAGAAAACAAGGAGCTTGTTTACTTACATTAGAAAACCTATGAAGCCATCCAAGGTAAAAATCCAGTCTACAAGAATTTCAAACCACAGCCATTTCAGCCAAGTACTATATCACCAAGACACTAAACACTCTGCAGAGATTTGGAATGGCAATTCCAGGTGGAATCTGAAAAGCTTTCTGCTATTATCAGAAGCAGCTGGGAAGATTCTTTCATCCTGGGGCCATGAAAGGGTTAAACTACACTCTTCCTTTCCCAGGTTTTATCTCAAGTATCAACTTGCAACAGCCTGTTTTGAAAGTGGCAGAGCTTTGCAAAATTTCTTACTTTCGTGTATTTTTCAGCAGATGTGGGTGGTAGATGGAGAATTAAGACACTGCAGTGCTCTCCAATAGTGAAGAACGGCATCCAGCTTCCTCCTCCCTAGAAACCCTGCCCAAAAAATGGCTCTGCTCTGCCATCTCTGACACAAGAGCAATCCTTTCTTGTTATCACAACAGTAGAACCATCTTGAGCTGGTAGCAAAGGGCAAAGCTAAATTCACCACACTGTCACTGAGCAATTCCTCCTGGCTTTCAACCTGTTTGTACTAGACCTGTAAACATATTGACAGGCCATCTTTTCTTGATGGAGCATTCTAGAACAAAACTGGTCTGATTTAATATAAAGCAGAATGTAAAGGAGGACTAGAAAACTCGTTGGTAAAAAAACCCAATATTTAAATTTAAAAATATATATATGTATGAATTAAAAGCAGCACCAGGATAGCTTTGATAGATATAAAATATTCCTGAAAACTCCAAAGTGATGCAATCCGCCTCTCCACTTAAGGAAAAACGGACATTCCATGATCCTGCACTCAAATGACAGTGACCCATACCGGTGTTTCTCAAGCTCAGCAACTTTCAGATGGGTGGACTTCAACTCCCACAATTCCCAACCAGGATGCCTTTTTTGGTAAGCCAGAGCAGCCGCAGGATGAGGCACTATGGGTCACTGCCAGCAGCACAGGATGATTTATTCATTGAGGCCAGAAGCTTCCCTCCACTGAATTACTGAAAGAATGGCCATCCCATAAAGTTAATTACGTAAACGACTAATCAACAGGATGCCGCACTAATCAACATGGCTATATGTTGCCTCTAGATCAGGGGCAGTCCGTCTCTTGAACACTGGTTATCTGAGAACATGAAGTGGCAGAGCG